TGATTTCCTAAAAATCCAACATTCATGAAGTCCAAAAGATCAACTCTGGAACTGCCCACATATGGGAAAGAGTTTAAAATCAGACATTCACTTTAAGTATCTACAGTATAGTATAGCTTAGAACCCCCGGGAGTTAGAGGAATTTTTATAATAGTATATAATAAGAGTTAATAAAATTAACATAAAATAGATAATATTTTTCAATTTTAAACCTTTTTGCTAAGTGTTATCTTTCCCTGTTCTCTACGACCATACTAATCGGCATGGATTTTGATGCTGTATAATAACAGTTGAAGTGAAAGATGATGATAATATATAGGATTTTGAAATGACTGTATACATGCTGAAGTTTTGAGTTGGCACGACTTGAAACAGAACGTGAGGCGGCACGCCTTGCGAAGTATAGAGAAATTTTAGCAATCTTATATATTAAATATGCATGTATGTTGACTGGCATACATCAAGTTTTGTTGCCATGCTGAATTTTTGGGTTGGCACGACCTGAAACAGAGCGTGAGGCGGCACGCCTTGCGAAGGTGACAATCCTTGTTATGTGTCGATACATCAACAAAAATGCATGATTTCGAGATAGTTCAACAGAAATACCATTCAAAAACGCTTTAGATGTATTAAAGTTTTTCGACACGTTGGAGAGAACTGTGAGACATATACCACTTATCCGGAATTATAACCATTATACAGATTGTTGTAGATTATAGTATATAACTATTAAAGATTGATCCCCATGTATATACAGTATATGGAAAAAAGTGTGGATTAATTAAATGAGGAAAAGAGTCCAAAAATATAAATCTGGTGTTTAGACAAGGTTATATATTTTAAGTTTATCATTTACTGTCTGCAAATAAAAAAAATATTAATAAAATTAATCCAGGGATATTAATAATAATTAATTAAGTGATTTCCTAAAAACCCAACATTCATGAAGTCCAAAAGATCAACTCTGGAACTGCCCACATATGGGAAAAAGTTTAAAATCAAACGTTCACTTTAAGTATCTACAGTATAGTATAGCTTAGAACCCCCGGGAGTTAGAGGAATTTTTATAATAGTATATAATAAGAATTAATAAAATTAACATAAAATAGATAATATTTTTCAATTTTAAACCTTTTTGCTAAGTGTTATCTTTCTCTGTTCTGTACGACCATACTAATCGGCATGGATTTTGATGCTGTACTATAATAACAGTTGAAGTGAAAGATGATGATAATATATAGGATTTTGAAACGACTCTATACATGCTGAAGTTTTGAGTTGGCACGACTTGAAACAGAACGTGAGGCGGCACGCCTTGCGAAGTATAGAGAAATTTTAGCAATCTTATATATTAAATATGCATGTATGTTGACTGGCGTACAACAAGTTTTGTTGCCATGCTGAATTTTTGGGTTGGCACGACCTGAAACAGAGCGTGAGGCGCTACGCCTTGCGAAGGTGACAATCCTTGTTATATGTCAATACGTCAACGAAAGTGCATATATATATATATATATATATATATATATATATATATATATATATATATATATATATATATATATATATATATATATATATATATATATATATATATATATTAAAGTTTTTTCAAGACGTTGGGAAGAACTGACTGAGAGAAATATATCACTTACCTGGAATTATAACCATTATACAGATTAGTGTAGATTATAGTTATATAATCTACATATTAGTGTAGACTATAGTTATATAACCTATAACTATTAAAGATTGATCCCCATACAATGGAAAAAGTGTGGATTAACTAAATGTAAACCGCTCACAGTCTGATGAATCCCCCCCCCCCAATGCATACGTGCATTATTATCATGACATGAATATATTTTTATCTTATGTATACATGCAGTTTGGGAAACAGTATATACAACTGCTTCAAGCAGCTGAAGGATGGGGTTATTGAATATCCAACAGTAAGTATATAACTAGTGCTTTAATTACACGCCCCAAATCTCGGTAAAGCAAGTATTTACAGCTATAGGTTTTGTTATTTGGTGCAGTTAGGCTATAACGTTTTTACGCGATGAATTTTGCACGAGGGTTTTGTCTTCTTAAATGTTTCGTTTTATTTGCATGAACATTGCCAAAACGATATTCATTTGAATAGAAGTGCGCAGTTCACAAAATCCTAAAGATCACAAAACCAAAGCATGGATACAAAATTCTTCAAAATTTAGAATTATAAGAGTACTTACATTCGTGCAGGAAAATAAAAATTTTGCCCTCTGCCATTTATAGGAATATTGGAATTGCAAACTTTGTTCATGCAGATTCTCATTTTGGTCGCTATCCAGATTGATGATTGAGAAAGACCCTTCCAGTATATATACTTAAAATCCAGGAGCAAGAATATCTATACAGCATGTCATATAGAACATGCATGCATTGTGCTTTCCCCGTGATTAAGCCTATAATATTAACTTGTATACTGTATATATGTAACTGTGTATAAAAACAAGATGAAACAAATGCTTTGTGAAACGTGATTAATAAAATTTATAATAAATATGTTTATGTTTTAATTATTTGTATATCTATAATTGTGAAAGGCATCCTAATTGTTGGAGACAATCATGCAGCAACCATGCGGCGTATCAAGGAATTATGCTTAAATTTGCAAGTCGAAAGTGCTATTGTAGCGTGAATTGTGAAAGAATCTCTTCGTGCATGGAGTAGAAATTACACCATTCCATGTTGGGCAAATTTTACTCTAGCTGTATTTTTACCCTCTAAACTGGGGTAATTTTTAGGACAAATTAGTTACCCTCGTTTTTGGAGTAAAATTTGCCCCTAAATCTTTGGAGTAGAATTTACTCCCTACTGAAAGTTACCCCAAAAAACCAGGGCGTTTTTAGGACAAAATTTTACCCCAACTTTTTGGAGTAACTTCTACCCTTTGAATTTTACTGTGTAGTTTCGTGCACAAATTATACAATGAATATGGACTAACTACGAATGCAGTTTTCTCTACCCAAGAAAGCAAGACAAACTTTTGTTAATTTCTCACCCAAATTGAACAAAAATGTAATCACTTTGTCCCCTGCCTATGGCCATTAGCCTCACAAACTTTGTGTTAATCCCTGAACCACGCGTGGAGCGCATAGGGCGAAGCCAGTCTAGGCTCATATTATCTTGTTTTGAACTGGCTGTAGTCGCCATCAGTCATCCACTCGTGATCGTATCTACAATTAATTTATCCCAAGGAGAAGTTAGTGAAATGTTCCTCGATGTTTGCACTTTTTACGCTGAATGTTGAACGATTCCTAGCCCTGACGTGTCCATTTTCCCATCAAGCATCAGTCACAAAAACAAAGCTTCTATGTTTTCGGGCATTTTGGACGGTTATAATGCTAGTTCTCCAGTGGTCTATCACAACTGGTATTTTTTATTTCAGAGACAATTGTCAATATTTCTGCAACTGTAATTGTTTTATCTCTGCTGTTCTTGTTCATTTATTCAAATTACAAAATGTTTAAAATCGCGAAGTCAAAACGCGAGGACGAAAGCGTTGTTTCAACAACAGCAACTTTGGTGGATGAAAATAGGAAAACACGAATCTTCAATCTCAAAAATATTTCTACATGTTCGCTGGCAGTTGGCTGTCTTTTCTGTTGTTTCTGCCCACATATTATATATGAAGCTTTGCGTTTAGCATCAAGAACGTTGTTGTTTGAGAGGCAATTTTTGTTACTTACTCTGTGGTCAGGCACGTTTGCTTCTTTGAACTCGACATTTAACTGTCGATATTTTTCTGGAGAAATTCAGTCCTGCGTCGAGAAGGAATAAAGATAGTAAACGCTTTCCGACGACACTTTACTAACTGAATTATTATTATAGAATACATCTGGTATTGTAAAAAGTTGTCTTTATATTAATCCTTTGTAGACTGTGAGTGAGCATTATTAGTCAAAAATCGACTAAAACCGCTTCATTATAGATTCGCTGCACTTGCTTGGACATACGATTAACTATAAGGATTAACATTTCTATAGCGCAAATTTACACGAGATATGATCAAATGCGCTTTACATCAAGTATTACGCTTACCTACTGTAATTACTTACTGAGCCTAGACTATTTTGTCTTTACAACATTTGTGATATAACTCTCTTATAATAACTGAATTTATCCTAACTCACCCTGTCATCTTTCCCTGTGGGAGGAAACCGGAGCACCCGGCGAAAACCCACGACTTTCGGCACAGCGTTGACTGACTCTTTTCACATGAGTCCATAGGGAGAAACGGACCCACGATCTCAGAGGTGAAAGGCGCTTGCTCTGACGACTTCGCCACCGAAGCCCCACACATGTCTAAAATCTAATTCTGAATTAAACCCACCATAAGGATCCCGACTGCTGCATGAAGTGGTCGACAAAGGCGTTATATCTCCTATTTTTCTTCAGATCCTAAAGGACCGAAATTAATTCCATATTTCTCATATATCCGATGGTTCTACAGGGTGAGTAAAAAAAACTGATACCTTCGCGGCTAATTTGAATAACAAAGGTGTCAGGTTTTTTTTACTCACCCTGTAGAAAAAAACGGCTGGCAACATTGGTTGGTTAATATTCCCATGGGTTTATTAGGAACGTTCTAGTTGCACAAGATGGTCATGTATTGTGTGGTAGATCCCCGATGGGAAACAATAGAGTATTCAAGTATGATAGTGATTCAGAATATTATGTTATTCGGGGCATTCTCTTCGCCATTACACTGTTCAACAAATTTTAAAAATTATAAACTTAATTATAAAGGGTTGTCGCGTTATATATAGTAATGTATCCCACAAATATGGCAATAAGACTATGTCCGCCTCCTATTATCGCTGTTGTGTTAATGTATAGTTTGGCTAGAAAACGCTTTGTGCTCGTCACTGCAGAATGTGGAGAAGTCCGCTATTTTGCGAGCTGGCTGTCGGAAATCGTCGGAAACTTAGAAATAAATTCGGAGTCACTTCGAAATTGTTCGGATCCCGAAGTTCGGAATGATGGCTTGCTAGCTTCGCTTTGAACGAGGCTTTGAAAGTATATTAACATGGACGACATGCATGGAAGGCGAAGCCGAAGTTGTTTTTTTATTTAATAAATATTAATGACCTTAAAGTTTAGTTTCCTGTAATTAAATTCGTTTCAGTACAATTAAGGCATTTTCCACTTCAGTTGCATCGTACCGAAGCGCAGCGTATTTCTTTGTTTCCTGAGCACTAGAGTGGAACCATTGAACTATAAGTAAACTGGAAGGCTAACTCAGGAGGGGGAAATTGAAGCCGTGCTTTGTAGGTAGTGCCAGTCCTTTTTTGCAATTTTTTTGAAAAATACACTTTATATATCGATCAATTTTACCCCTTTAATTTCCTTTCCCCCTTTCCTTTTTCATTTTAGGGCATACTAAGACAGTTAAACTTTTCACTCAAGTACTTACAATAAAGAAACATCGTTCAACTGCTAAATTATTACAGGGCCAAAACAAAATTTGTCAAAAAACCGCGCGAAAATGTTTGGTTTTTTTCAAAAAGAGTTAAGAGATTTTATGATACAAATTATGTAGAAAAATATTAGATACACATTTGCAAATTTATTTTCAAGTGCCCACGACTTACTGTTAACAAGTTAAAATAAGCATTATCGAAGCTAAGCTTGGCTGCCATATTCAAAGTGCTCAAAATGCCCAACAAAGATGCGTTGACGAAAATAACATCACTTGAAAAAGTCAATTTATTCATGTTTTAGAAGCAATAAAACAAGGACTAAAAGCTCAGGATAAATAACAATACCTGGGTTTTAGTACAAACTAAGTTTTGGGACTGTCAAAATGTTTTTTAGTATATTTTTTTCGAGTTGAAGAGCGAGGTTTCCTTCCGCACGTCCAAACTTCGTCATTTTTTCAAAATACAAAAGCAAAACTCCTCACTTTTTGCAGCAGAGAGATGTGAAACAGTCGGAACTAACCCTTTCCACCCATCAATCAGGTTTTCGAAAGCAGCATTTTACGGAAACTACTGTTGTGTCACTCGTTGATAAAATCCTCGATAATATGGATAAGCAAAAAACTACTGGTGCTGTTTTTATAGATTTAAAAAAGGCTTTTGACCTCGTGGACCCCGATTGTTTGCTTTACAAACTGGAACATTATAGTATAAGGGGGAGCAGTCTAAATTGGTTTCAAAACTATTTAACTACAGCTCACAACGGGTAAAATTTGGTCAAGATTTATCGAACAGTGCAAGTATTGACCATGCTGTTCTCCAAGGTTCAATACTTGGACCTTTACTTTTCATCCTGTACATAAACGACCTTCCTATGTGTCTTAATGACTGTTCTATAAGTATGTATGCGGATGACACTATGATTCATTATTCTGATAAATCAACTGCTAAAATTCGAGAAGTTTTACAAATTGACTTTAATAATAAGGTTGATGATATGGCTGGAACAAAATAGGTTGGTTATAAGTGAGAAAAAGACCAACACAATGTTATTTGGAACAAGATGCGGCTCAAGATCTCAACATACATCTGTATGGACAGAATGTTAAACAGGTCGATCAATTTACCTATCTAGGAGTTGTTTTGGATAAACACTTAAACTGGAAGGACAATGTGGAAGAGATGAATATGAATATTAGCACAAAGTTGAAGATAATGAGCAGGATTAGAGCATATTTAACATTGGAAGCTGCGAAAGCTGTTTATAATGGATTAATATTACCCATCTTTGAAAACTGCGATGTAGCTTGGGCACAATTACCGGAAGGTTGCAGTCAAGAATTACAATTAAGGCTTTCAGAACCAAGCGGCGCGTCTTGTTCTTAAACGATCGTCCTCTATTGACACATTTAGTGTTTTAAACTGGATAAGTTTGCAAAGAAGAAGAGAAATGCATGTTTGTATTTTTTTTTATAAATGTTTAAATGACCTTTATCCTAGTAAAATAAGTGAACTTCTTACTCAATACTATAAGATTCATCAATACAATACAAGGAGGAAAAACGATCTACATCTTCATAAGATGAAGCTTGAACTTGGTAAGAGAACCTTTAGATTTAATGGACCGGCCTTTACAATATAATAAATTGCCTATTGGAATTAAAGAGGCAACGACACTTTCTAGTTTCAAAACTCTAATTTGGAATTATTTACGTAATTGATTCTGTGAATTGCATGCTTATAAACATATAGATCCTGTTACGACATATATTTGTGTAAAATAATTTAAATACAGGTCCCTCATGAATACCAGCTTTCAGCTGAAGAGGCTAACCTGTCTAAATAAAGTTTTCCAATCCAAAAAACCTGGTTTGAATCCCAATCATTGTAGTAATCCCATGGAAAAAGTGTTTTTCTGTCTGCTTCAACGAATCATAGGCTTTCATCAAGTTGGCCTTCCAGATTACTTATAGTTCAATGAGTGGAACTAATGACTTTGACACAGAAGAAAATACTACAATACGTCACGATACGGTTGAAGTGGAAATCGGCCTTTACTTGTTTGTTTACTTTTTTAGATCATCGGCATGTTCAAGAATTTATAATAATTATATTGAAAATCAAGTGTTAAGGCGGTTTTCCAGTCCTCGCACGAAGCTCCTCGCTGCGAGTGCATGCATGAGCACTTTCATCCAATCACAATGCTAAACAGTTAATTTTAATTAGATGCAAGCACTCGCAGCGAGCTGCGAGGAGCTTCGTGCGAGGACTGGAAAACCGCCTTAAATCCAGTTTATATTTGCCGTTTCTGTGTTTAAAATTTGAATCCCGGAAATGGCATTTGCAGCATTCTGAGAACACATTTTGTAAAAAACTAGGTTTTCAAAACACTGTTTTAATGGTGCGTTTTGTTATAGATCACATGCTAAGCATAGAAAACCAGCATTTCAGAGAAAATATTTACATGATTATTTACATTTGTGAATGGAATTGCAAGGTGGTTTAATTTAATTAACACGCCAATGACAATGTAAAAATTTATTCGCTAAGTGAGTGAAATTTATTTGCTGCACACGCTTTTGTTTTTGTTAACATAAAATTGGAATGTTAATTGAATTTATCCATTGTTTTTGAGCATAATAGTTTAATATGCATAGAAATTTCGCCGTTTCAAACAACCAAAAGTCGACAATGACATTTAAAGAAGTGCCTGTTGCAAAAAGTTGACCCCTAGTATCCGTCAAAACGAATGTATAAAATGCGTATGTTGTGACGTGTACAGTACAGAAACATATATTATTATATTATGTCGACAATTACGTTATATGAGTGTGATTTGTGCTATTTGGTACAACATTTTTACAGTCTTTGAAGAAGTTGAATCCGCCTCCTTTATCTTCTTCCCCCCAAAGTATTTGGTGCTATATATTTTTCTGGTCAAGTCTTAACTACCTCTCAAAGCTGGCCTCTATATTTCAACGTTGTAGCTGGAGTGTGCAATATTGGCTGTGCAGTGTTCACGATATTTTCCTCTGCTAAGAAGATCGCATAGAAATTGAATATGGTGGTCACGTAAGTTCAATTGCGTTGAGTGGAAACATAGTTCTAGTCAAATCTGGGTTCATATAAAAATTTGAAGGTTTTGGAATTTAAAACTAGAAATTGTATGCCTTGAAATCGGTCTGTTGCTGAAGGTTGAAATGTGAGAAATCGTTGCAAATCGTATGTATGCAATACTACATAGAAATAATAGACAAATAGGTCTAATATTTCTATGGTATACTACCACGAAATTTGCAGTGAGATTTCTCATGCTAAAAAAGAAATGCTTTTTGATTACTTCTGAATTAAGAAGGAATAAAAAATATGTTTCCGAACGTGAGCTGTTGTAATATTTAGTAATCATTATTATTATTTCTTATTTATTATTAATCAATATTTTTGTCCATAGGCAGCATTTTTAAGAATGTTCATATCCATGATGCTCATGCATGTGAATTATATAAATGTTTACATTCATAGACTTTTCCCACTCATGCAGCTTTGGGACAAGCAGTTCGAAGTAGGTTATTTCTAATGGCTGTTGGGTTTTGTACCGTTGCCATCGCTCTTTCTCGAATACGAAGCACAACATACAACTTTGGAGTTTTACAGAAGAATGTATTTAATAATAAAAATCACACATATATATACAAGATTATATCTATAATAAGTATTTTGACATATCACATTCTATTACCATAAATGGTATACAGTTTGGTACATGGAGCAACTATTTGTACTGGAATTTGTGGTATCCAGAGATTACATTTTACATACATATCTATAGTAATCAATGTCATTCATTAACTAATAATCTTATTATCATTGTCAACAGAATATCAGGAGCATATTCTAACACCCCCACTTGCTCTTATGTTCTGAGCATCTATAAATTACATCAATAATTTTTTAATTTCTAATATATTTGTATTACGCAGCGCATTTATAAACCTAACATGAAGTGCTTAAATTTTTCTAACTTACCTTTGCTAGCTGGCTTTGTGAAGACGTCAGCTATATTGTCCTCAGTAGGAACATATTTCAAACTTATGGTACCTACCTGTATCTCGGATCTTATAAAATGATACTTAATATCTATATGTTTCGACCTTTGATGGTGTACGGGATTTCTAGCTAAGTTTATAGCTCCCTGATTATCTACTTGAATAAGTACATTATCATCACTTATACTTACCTTCATGTCGATACATAATTGTCTCAAAAATTTTGCCTCCTGTACGGCATTTGCAAGCGCAATATATTCTGCCTCGCATGTAGAGAGTGCAACTGTTGGTTGCTTACGGCTCTTCCAGGATATTAAAGGACCTGTTGAAGACAACTGAAAATTATAGCCAGTTATACTCCGCCTGTCGGCTACTGATGCGCCCCAGTCGGAGTCACAAAATCCGTTCAACCTTAGCGGAACGTTTGACTTCCTAAATGTCAAACCTTGCTCAGATGTACCCCTCAAATACCTTAAAACGTGTTTAGCCAAGTCGAGATTGGCTCTTGTGGGCTTAGACATTTTCTGTGAGAGCTTCGTCACTATATAGCACAAATCAGGCCTGGTGCCTGTCATAACGTATATTAAGCTCCCAACAATAGCCCTATACTCACCTGGGTCTTCTAAGCTTGGTGATTCTTCGTCTGAGACCTTCTCGATACCTAAAACACATGGAGTAGGCTTGGGCTTGCAATCAGCCATCCCAAACTTTAACAATACTTTTTCAATATATTGTTTCTGATTCATTTCGATGCAAGATTTCTTGCATTTAAACTCTGTACCTAAAAACCACGATAGCTTACCTAGGTCTTTCATTTTGAACCTTTCACCTAAAGATTCTTTTACAGTTGTTAGTAATTCAAAATGACTGGCTGCGATAATGATATCGTCAACCCATACAATTACTATAACACATCGCTTCGAGTCAATCATTCTCACATACACACATGGATCAGCCTGTGACTGAGTAAAACCCTCCTTTTGCAGATACTCGTGTAATAAATTATTCCAGTTTCTCCCACTTTGCTTTAAACCATATAATGACTTATTTAATTTACATACTAATTTTTCACCATTCTCACCATGTTCCTCAAAACCTTCTGGTTGTTCCATATAGAGCTCACAATCTATAGGCGCATTAAGGTAGGCGGTCTTGACATCCATTTGGTGAATGATCATGTCATTCTGCACAACACGTTGTAGCAATGTACGAATTGAGCTCATGCGAGCTGTCGGGGCAAACGTTTCCTGATAATCAATCTCAGGAATTTGAGAATACCCTTTAGCTACATATCTTGCTTTATGGGTTTCTTCCCCATTTTGGCCGATTTTTACGGCGTAAACCCATCTTCCCCCCACTATCTGTCGATCCTTTGGTGGTGGGACTAACTCAAACGTATTGTTATCGTTTAATGCGCTTACCTCTGCATTCATGGCATTTTGCCACTTGTTAGCCTCCAGCGATTTTGTTGCTTGCTTGTAACATTTTGGAATGTCTACAGCCCTAAAGCAATAATCAACAGTGCGGTTAACATTGTCGTCAATAATAGGCTGATCAAGATACCTTGGTTTGTTGCGAGTGCGTGTTGGATATCTCGCCGCGTTGTTCTCTACCTCTGCTGTACCAGCATTTTCATCCATTTGCTGAGGCAGCTCGTTAGCATTTACCGTAGTCTCAACGTGTTCTTTATTTGGCACAATTAACTCTTGGTTGTCATTAGACGCCTCAGGCTCAGTTCCAAAATTATCAAAAAATTTCACGCATCTTACCTTTTCCACTTTGTTTGTTTCTGGGTGGTATACCAAGTATGCTGGACTGTCTTTATCATAACCTACAAAAACACCTTTACGGCTCCGGTCGTCTAATTTCTTAACATTTTGAACAAAGGCATAGCACGTTGAGCCAAAGACATGCATATTGCTAAGATTAGGTTGCTTACCTGTCAGTGCTTCATACGGAGTTTTTCCTAACCTAGAATTAAAACACCTATTTCTAATATACACCGCTGTCATTACGGCATACGTCCACAAACGTTTGGGGAGATTTGCTTCTAATAGCATGCATCTAGCCATGCTAAATAAACTCCGCCACGCTCTCTCTACAGTGCCATTTTGGTGTGGGGAATATGGCGCACTAGTTTCGTGTTTAATTAAATTTTGACGCAGTAGTGATTTAAATTTCCGGCTGGTAAATTCCGTACCATTGTCGCTTCTAATGCGTTTTACCTTTCCAAAGGGTGCAATATCAGCCAAAAACTTTTCAGTAGCTTCCACTGTATCGCTCTTCTGTTTAAGAAAATATATTAAGTTAGTACCAGTGAAATCATCTACAAAAGATAAGGCATATTTAAAACCATCCTTCGCTGCTGGCTCAACTGGACCAGCTAAATCACAGTGTACGAACTCAAGAGGACCTTTTGCCCTTTGATCTGGCTCTCGCCTTCGATGTTGGCACATTTTACCCTGTGTACATACCTCACAAAGGATTTCCTTGTCTTCTATTATCTTCATACCTTTAACCACGCTCTCAAGTTTGCGCACATCATTATAATTACAATGCCCTAATATCTTGTGCCATTCCATTAGGGACGATGCGTTATTTCGAGAAGATGATATACTATTTAAGTAATATAATTTACCTACCTGTTCGATACCAAACACTGTTCCCTCGGGGTCCCTGTACTCTCTAACTTGCCTATCTAAGCTAACAGCAGCCCCCTTCTCTATTGCAGCAGGAACGGAGAAAATATTTTGCTGATAAGACGGAATATACAGCGCGTTACTAAGCATTACATCTTGTAAATTACCATTAATATCGTACAATTTAACTTTAGCGTTACCTTTACCTAAAACAACATTAGCTTTACTTCCGTCAGCTAACTCTATTACATGATTACTTGGGTCGAACTTCTCATCAAAATTTACAAATTTAGATTTATCATTAATTATATGACTTGTTGCCCCTGTATCTACTAGTAGATTTGAGGTCTTACCTTCATTAGAATTATTTTCCTTAAGTGTAAATGCAAATGAATGTATTTTAGCGTTCTCTTCGCCGGTTTCAGCGGCCATCTTTACACCGTCTCTTCTTGCTCTGCAATCCTTGGTATTGTGTGTCTTGCTCTTGCACTTGTTGCACCATTTTTCAGCTTTCATCCAGCAATCGGAACTTTTATGTCCTTTCTTGTCACACTTAAAACACTTTCCTTCAAATTTCTTCTTTACGTACATTACGTTGTCGCCATTCTCCGCCGGTCTGCAGCACTTCTCGTTCTCTTCGTGGTTACGCAATGCGATTTTGAAGTCGCCAAAATTCATCTGGTTTTCTCGTTGAATAACCACCGTAGAAAATGTTTTATAAGCGTTTGGTAGACCCTTGAGTACCATGGCAATCAGAAGTCCATCACTGATTACTTCCTCGGCAGCCTTCAATGCGGTCGCGGCAGTTTCTGCCCGTATGATGTAGTCCGTAATTGTCTCATTTTCTGCCTTCTTCAACGACGTTAACTCCGTGTACAGCGAGATTATTCTGGGCTTTCCTTTGCCTTGATAATGTTCTCTCAGAACCGTCAGGGCTTTTCTTCCATTGTCTTTCGCCTCTCGTATGACCAGGGCCAAGCTCCTGTCATCTAGACATTGCACTAATTCGGCAAAGGCATCTGCGTTCTTTGCCTCATCTAGCTCTCTTTCGCTACTGCTAGGAATGAATATATTGCAAAGTTTTTGGAGTCGCATATATCCCAAAAACTTCACCTCCCATAATTCATACTTGTTCTCGTCTCCATCAAAAATCAAGCCTCTTCTGGGCCCATAACCTGTTGGGTTTTGTACCGTTGCCATCGCTCTTTCTCGAATACGAAGCACAACATACAACTTTGGAGTTTTACAAAAGAATGTATTTAATAATAAAAATCACACATATATATATACAAGATTATATCTATAATAAGTATTTTGACATATCACATTCTATTACCATAAATGGTATACAGTTTGGTACATGGAGCAACTATTTGTACTGGAATTTGTGGTATCCAGAGATTACATTTTACATACATATCTATAGTAATCAATGTCATTCATTAACTAATAATCTTATTATCATTGTCAACAGAATATCAGGAGCATATTCTAACACATGTATTTAACAATTTTAGTTTGGCCATGTATATAAAATGTTTGCCCGCATATTTCCCGGGGTTTTGAGGATTAGAAGGTAAATATTAATTTCAGGGGTGTCAATTGGGACGAAAGTCCTGTTTCTTTCTCCTGTCACAACATGCCTTTGTAACCTTATTGTATTGTAAAACACTAGGGGGGGGGGGTGATTAGTCAGGGGCGATTATTAGGTCATTATTTCCCCTCTCAAACTTTACAGATTATCGCCAGTTTATAAATTATTGGGGGGGAAGCTGAAGCCCCCAGCCCCCCCCCCCCTCCCGGTGTCTACGGCCCTGTAAAAGTATGTAGTTGATATGTAAATATTAACAAGTAAACTGTGACAAACCTTTTAATATTATTATATTATTATAAATAGAAGGAACAATCCTTTATGTAGGCGCGCGGAAATACAAAGTCAATCATAAAACGATAAATAAAAAACTACAGATCTATATTCACCAATGATGAATTTTAACCTACATTACTACTACATTATATCAATTATGCACTGTATATTAATCACAAAACGAACGTTATTCTACAATATGTCCAGGTAAGAGATACGTGTCCACAAACAATCTGTATTTAGAGAGGTATTCCGTAAGGAGGATTTAGGCTTTCATTTTATACCATTGCTTTTCATTTACCATCTCTGTTACTATCCTTTATACAATTACTCGAGCTTTATTACAGTTGTGATGTCAAAGTGTCATTTATTGGTAAAATTGGCGGCATGAATTATGTCAAAAATGTTGTAAGGTTTTTGAGAAAAGTTCTCTTAAAAACTTTATGTTTACAATCTGTTTATATTGGTTCTTAAAACATGTTTCCACAACGTATATGTTTGTGCAAATATTTGTAAAAAATTACAAACAGAAATTTACAAGGATCATAGCAAAAACAACATAGCCAAGCTGTTTAACAGAGCATGCTGCACCGGTGTTTGAAGGCGGCTGTATAGTAGCTGGGTTGAAATAGGTCTGCGCAAAAGTGAAAGTTCCAAACCTCCTTACGGGTTTATCGCCTTTGAACGATCCTTCTGTGTTGTTTGTAAGCAGATGGATATTTTCTTTTGGATTTGTTATTTGATCTCGACTATCAAAGTTAGGTCCACTGTCAGTGCCTGCATCATAGGGTGGCAAATCTCTTGTTCTCGAGTCTAACCATTTCCCTGTTGTCGTGTTGCATAAATTATAGTCGTGTACACCAACGAACCAATCAGGTGAGGGTGCGATCATGGTAATGAAGGACACGAGGGGATATTCCGAGTTGACTTCGATGTTAGGGATAAGAGTGGTTCCTGTGCCACCAGAGAACACGATACGTTGGTATCTCTTATAGGCTTTTTTCAAGTTTATCTCATTGTCCATTTCGCTGTTAAGTGCACCTGTAATACCTGAAGTATAAAATATGATGTATTGATTTAGCCAGGAAAGAAACTTTTAAAATGAAAAACATATTAAGCCTTAAGGAGAATTTTGATGATTCGAGCGAAGGCCCTTCTTCTGGAGTTACTAAGACCGCTATGACGAAAGGGCCTTCGCTCGAAACGTCGAAATTCTCCGTATATTTTTCATATTTTTTGCATTCCTACCAACGAAAGCTTGTTCATTTGATTGGCACTACCTACACTGGAAAAGACAGACACTGACAATTCATGGCCCAGGTTATGGCGTCATCTAGAAATTATGACCTTCCTGTGAGGACTTGCGAAGTTTGGCAACGCTTTATCCGTTTCATTTATCTTTCTGAATGCGAATTTAAGACGAGTTTTTCGTCTAGACGGAATTCCTTCGGCTAATTCTTTTATACAAAGCATACAAGACATATCAATGATGTACAGTATTATTAATTTAAATTAGACCCCCAAGAAGGCTGTTAATGACTCAGGCATACCTAATTCTGCGACATCTTTAACTCCTGTGGTCGCTTTTATTCCTGGTGTCCACATCACATAGGAAGTTTTATGACTACAGCCTACGAGGGTTGAGAAATGAGCGCTGATTGGAAAATGTTGATGAGATTGACTTGTCCATTCCCCTAGGAAGGTTAACGTATATCTCGCTGTGCCTTGGCATTCGATAGCTTGAGTAGACGATACGATACTTGCGAAATATGCCACGCTATACCACAGAACGAAGACTAACGCCATTCTTAGTTAAAGATTGTAACTTCGAATTGTAATATATCGATCAATTTGCTAGTCTTGTGTCTTTAACCAGTAATACACAAGACTAAACTTGGGTGAACTATGAGTTTTGACTTTTGATACGAAAGCGGCAGCTAGATAATTATCTAAATTTTAAGTTCATATGATCGCAATTGTTTGACTATACTTCGTTGCGTGGCGATAATGCAAAACAACCGAAACATTATTGATATTGATTCGCAATGAGTTCCGCTTCCATCACGTACATATGGGCCGCAATTGTTCACATGAGTCGCAATTGTTCAGATGAGTCGCAATTGTTTGACTATACTTCGTTGCGTGGCGATAATGCAAAACAACAAACATTGATATTGATTCGCAATGAGTTCCGCTTCCATCACGTACACTAACAATCCTCAGCCTCGTACCCAGGCACAAATAACTAAAAATAGACACACTACAGTGTTTTTATATAGATCAGTGACTAAGCTGAGCGAGCGCGTGGGGGTGCTTGGGGAGGACCAGAACCCCCATCGAGTCCTCCCCAAGCACCCCCGCGCGCTTGCTCATCATCTTAGCTACTGATCTATATAAAAACACTGTAGTGTGCCTACTTTTAGTTATTTGCGCGTGGGTACGAAGCTGTACAATCCTCCTAATATTCCTAAAACAGCGGGCAGGTGTGGAATGCAGAAAGATGTTGTAGATCTCGGAGTGTTTGTGTTCTTCAAAACTTACAATGTCTTTGAGAAACTAAACGCAGGCCTTAAAATATCTTTTCCAGGGCCGTCTGACAAAATGTCCGGTGACGTTGAGTTTGGGTCGGACATATGTCCGATGACCTTCAGTTCAGTTTTGACTCGGAAATAAGTCTAAATGATACAAATGAATAAACGGTAAATGTTGTAAAGATATTACTGAAATAATTTGTTTCTTTCATACATACTTGCCAGAACAGCAGTATCAAAAAGACTTCAACAACTTAAGCCCGTTTTCCACTTCACCATTTCGTTCGCCGCCCCGCGCTCGACTACGTTAAAACAACATTTCCAGTTCACCTTTTATACAATAATACTCTGATTTTCCATTTAACATACAAGCCTGCCTCTAGTCCTGGGCTAGGGTACATTTTGATTTACGTCGGACAAAGCTACAGTTCGGTCGGACACCAATACACTCGGGTCGGACAAACAATAAACCCCATTTTCACTTAGGTCGGACAGAATGTCCGGTGGTTTCTTTCAGTCTACGTCGGACAATTTCACGAATGGGTCGGACAATGTCCGTGACCGACCGATATTTTAAGGCCTGTAAACGGTGACATTTTTGCCATTCACGTGACCAAACTAAATTTGATAACTTCACTGATGAAGATATGGAAAATATCTCGCTGTGTATTTTTCAGTATCTCACTCTCTAGTATATAATAAATTTCCATATGTGATCGTTCCGAAGTTAGAATGGACATTGACATTTTGTGATGAGTCATATGACTTACAAGCATGCGAGAATAATCATTGAGGTAACCTGCGATCAGGCGTTCTTGGGGGAGACAAACGCAGGTTATGATTGAGGGAGAGCGAACTTTTGAGAACGTTAGAAAACGTGAGAGAATTGTTTGTATTATCAAAGTTTTTTTTTTTTAATGTGATTTGCCTTGAATACAGTACTCACACGCAAGCGCGAATTCAGGACAGTAGAAACACCTACTGTAACTTAATTTGTAGATATACTGGGTAGGTCTGTCAGTTCTAAACTGTTCTTCTTGGAGATTCCCAGGTCATCATCTACCTGTACTATCCGACATGCTCGTGGTTGGTTTATTATAACAATGAAAGACCGAATAAAACTATAGAAATCTTCTTTCTAAAGAACGAGTCACGAACAATGATCATTTTTGTTTCTGAGTTTGTGTCTGAAAGCCAATCACAAAACATGATCATTTTAGGTAGGTCTTTAATTTATCCGGGTTTCCTACGCCCCTGACCCTCTTCAACGCATTAAGTATTCCCACAAATAACTCTTTCATGTGTATGATAATATACAGGCTGGTTGATCGACTTGCAATCTATTTTTCTATAGTGTGTTTACTTTTTTTGAATTCATAATGACTGATTAACTCTTGAATACGTGGTTCCGGTATTTAAGTTTTAAAGGCTGCTCACGCGATATCGGATTTGTATGCTGTTCAATTCAGCCTCAAGAGTAATGTCTGCACACAAAATTTCCCGGAAATGGTTAGTTAGGAATTTGCTACCCACCCTACATATAGCCTGGCCTCAACCCGAAATTCACACATACAGCCAAGGTATACCCAACTGACAACGTGGCAGTGAAGAAAAAGACTACAACAAGACAGCACTTGGTTTCATCGTCAAAGCTTGAAGCATGTACAACACTCTGTTAGAGCTTTTGTTTATAGCTTTTCTGTATGTGTATACTACAGAGGCCAAGTCGTGCACTGGGTGGGCAAATTATACTCTCACACGCAGAGGCGATTGGACAGACGCAAGGCATCCGAACTCTCCTCCTGCGTCAGTCCGAGGTTTCTCGGAGACTGTAGGCTGTAGTCATAATGCCCGCTATGTGATGTGGGCACCAGGGATAAAGGCGACCACAGGAGTTAAGAATGTGGCAGAAGCGGGTATGAATATAGTTCCTTATATTACTTGAAACTTTTATAGGTAAAACTTTACACTGGCCAGTGTAGTCACACCCATATACCCATATTCTCCAAGACATAACAACTGAGCTTGACAATACTCCACACTTTCGTTGGTACATTGCATATACGAACATATTACCGGTGCTGACATGCCAATTTTACTCTGCCAAACATTTAGATTTTTAAAATTTTACTTCCGAATTCAATCAACTCGACTGCGAGAGTTCACATGAATCACATTCTTATTCACTATAGGTTGAATAATTTCCCACTAGGGACTTGATAAAATTCTGCTCTGCAGTTTTTGGGGTTTTTTTTGCTTATGTAGTCAAGCCTTACAACATACAAATTTAGGCCAAAAGTTTTCTTATTTAGGCCAAAAGTTTTCTTAAAAGTTTACTATAGTGTATCAGAGAGAGATAATAATTTATCAAATTCAGGCTAAACCAAACCTTTATTGATTTTCAGGTAACGTAACTGCAATAGAGGCAGAAATGGACATTCAGATAGCATTGAAGAAGGCATTTAAGAGATATGTGGGTGTTATGATGGTTGGTGGCAGATCCAACGATACTATCCCTAATATCGAAGTCAACTCGGAATACCCTTTCGTGTCCTTCATCTCCATGATAGCCCCCTCACCAGATTGGTTTGTTGGTGTGCGCGATTTAAATTTATGCAACACAGCTACGGGGGAATGGCGAGATCGGGAAGTGAGAGAATTGTTTCCCTATGATGCAGGCACTGATAGCGGAGTTAATTTCACAAGTCCTGATGAGGTCACCAATCCACCTATTAATATTCACCGTATTACAAATGACACTGAAGGTTCGCTCAAAGGCGACAAACCCGTCCTGAGTTTTGGAACATTCACCTTTGTGAAGACCTCGGAAAGCGTAGAAGTGACATCAGCACCTCCGCTAACTCCGACACAAACAGCTAACCCAGGCACAAACTTCAATAAAAAAACTCTTGTCCTGATGTTATGCATCTGGAATATCATTGGCTATCTTCTATAAACTTGACAAACTTTCACTTTGTAATCTTCATATCGTAATAGATAGATAAAGACTTTGTTTATTATCTTAATGTCTTATACATTAATGATGTGTATTTTTGTAATGTTTAACGAATTGCAGCCTTTGACTGGAATGTTAAGTGTAATAAAACTATCTATCTATCTTAATTGCATCCTTGTGTAATCGGAAATGGCTGATTGCTCCGTGCATAACTCTAACAATAAAAATAGTCTTAGATTTATTTCGTTTACATATCAAATGAAAATAAAATTTCTCGAGAACGAAGAGATAAGTTAGAATAGTTCTACAATTTTATAGTTTTACATGTTCTTTCTGCCTAAAATGAAGACTTTTCGTTGCCATCACAGTCACAGCCGCTCATTATGTCGTTCCACCACCAATACAGTAAGCTTTCTCCTTGGCCATGGACAAACGGGACTTCGTGGACATTCAGGCCATTGCACCGAAGCTAAACATATTTTTAAACTAACGAGCTTTCGAAATATTTCTATTTGCCGTAATTTGGAGAAAAAGCGATAGTCGCTATCGCTTCGGTAATAGCGTTTCTTTGTTAAAGTGCCATGACCGAAACAATATACCAAATTATCAAAGAAGCATATCTTCCGGTAATTACTTTATTTTTATCTATATAATAATTAACATTCATAATTCAAATTCCTCAGTAATAATGTCACATGACATAGCACTATATATTAGGGGTAAAATAGTATATATAAGCTTACTATTTTCATTTGTCCTGCAGGCTGTACGGCCTGTACCTGATTGAAACTGTAGCAATGGTTAAACAGTCAAATATTATAAATTCCCACCCACTTATAGCTTGAACACTACAACCGGCAGCACAAGTATCCAGTTAGGAATTTAGTTACAATTTTCGGTTCAACTTTCAACACAAATAACTCTTTCATTTGTATGATAAATTGATAATGTGCATATTCTGACTGATTGTTGATTTAGTACTTTAGTGGAAGACTACGCGAGCTAGTGGAACGATCTAATTGGTTCCGCAGTCTTTCAGATTAGGGACATTAATTAAGAAGCATCTTGAAGATTGGAAAATATTTATAAAACGATTTTCTCACCTCGAATGTAAAACAGTTTATGTCCAGAATGAATCTATTTGATACTATAGTCATTCGTGCTGAAATTATTCACGGAAAATTGAAAACGCGACATCGGCGCATTTCTCGATATGGACAATTTCACCATTGTCAATTCACAATTGATTGACATTAAGGACATCAAGTGTTTACCAACTAACTTTGCACCTAATTGTTTAGCGAATTCTCCGGCAGAAAATGCCAGAAATAGGCAGGGAATCAAGAATATTCAACGATTTCGAGTGACCGGCTGAAATTCAGGCTAGTTTACAGGAATAAATTAAGCCTCAATCTATCTATTACGATATGAAGAATTAGTATTATTTAGGCACACGATGGCCTTCCAGTTGCCTGGTTTTCAAAGGGCCGATTACAGGGGGGGGGCATTAAAAGTTTATAGAAGATAGCCAATGATGTTCAAGATGCATAACATCAGGACAAGAGTTATACTAAAGTTTGTGCGTGGGTTAGCTGTTCGTATTGGCGGAGGTACTGACATCACCTAGTTTTCCGATGTCTTCACAAAAGTGAATGTTCTAAAACTCTTTGGCGCCCTTGAGTGAACCTTCAGTGTTATTTGTGATACGGTGAATATTTTCAGGCTAGTCGGAGACCACCACGGTTGTCAGCCAAGGTTGACAACGGACAGTGTTTCAATTCTATTTCAGAACCATCCTCAGAGATACGAAAAACTAGTTCCATATTAATCTGACACTGCAACGAGCAACGAAAAATTCGTTGGCTCGAGCGGGATTTGAACTCGCATCTTCGGGTATCTAGACCGCCGCTCTACCTATTGAGCTATCGAGTCAACAGCCGCTCAAATCCCGCTCGAGCCAACGAATTTTTCGTTGCTCGATTGCAGTGTCAGATTAATATGAAACTAGTTTTTCGTATCTCTGAGGATGGTTCTGAAATAGAATTGAAACACTGCGCGTCCTCTAAGACAACTAAAGACAAGCGTTAAGTAGTCACGAAAATTTTTCGTGCAGTTAAATTGGATAAGACTCGCTACCAATCCCTGTTGACTCGATAGCTCAATAGGTAGAGCGGCGGTCTAGATACCCGAAGTTGCGAGTTCAAATCCCGCTCGAGCGGCAACGAATTTTTCGTTGCTCGATTGCAGTGTCAGATTAATATGAAACTAGTTGACAACGGGGTTAGCGTGTTTAAATAAAATTTCTATCTACCATATTAATACTCTTATTTCAAGTGATTTGGGCCCGCTATCAGCGCCTGCATCATAGGAAACAAATTTCTCAGCCGTTCGCTGGCTTACCATTTCGAGTTTTTGCCGTGTGTCGCGGATAAAAATTCGTGTGTCGTGAGTAAAGTCGTGGGTCGTAAAATGCGTTAAAATCTTAAATTTCATTTTAATCACCACCACGTTTGAAAATTAGTTTTGGACATTCCGATTCCATGTGTCAGATACTAGTTTGTAAACCAGGCATCAGTTTTATTTTTTAGCAGGATTTGTAATTTGTAGTTTCTATCTGGTAATGGACCTGCTCCAAGTCTACCTCTCAAAGCCAAAAGGGTTTTCATTCGGGATTTATAAAGGGTGCGCGAAAATCACAAATAAAACCCAGACCCCC